CCATTAACAACTTCTCAATATATAAAAGAGGGTTCGAAATTCCATGCATGTCCCCATTACATGAGGATTAAACAAACAACAATATGTATACATATGCGATACATAAACATAGTGCCTCAGCATCCAACAATACACCGGTCAACAACAAAATGATTTACATATTACATCACCGGTCAACAATACAAAAGTCCACCTCCAGGGTAGTACTATAGGGTTAGCTAATAAGTTGCCCCTCGCGAGGCCCTCAAAGTCTAGCCTACCCGTTTCTGGTATCGATAACGTCCTTGACTGGACGGGTGCGACTGAGTTTGACTAGGCTTTGAAACACTAGCAGAATTTACACGCAAAAGGGCAAAAACGTCTACCATGGCCCGACAGACCACAAAAAAAACAACCAACAGACCCCCTACTCTGGGATTGGTCTGAAATCTAAACCTCTCTGGACCTCCCAACAGAAGAGTTTGAGACCCCTGGCGAAGAAAAGGATTTAGCCTGGGACTGAGCATGTTTTCGCCTCCACTTCTTACTGAGCCTAGAGTGCTTATGAACCGTAGGAGTTACCGAGATAGCCTCCTCCCTACCCTGACCAGCACTCACAACCATGGCCTCCACATGGGCCGCTGCCTCGACTAGACTATAATAATCCTTCCCAAAGGATCCAGCTACCCTCTCCCGAATATCGAAACACAACCGGCTTTCAAACTCATAACAACGGCGCTTCTCTGTTGCCACCAACTCTGGAGTAAACCTCGATAAACTGGTAAACCGCATCTCAAACTGTGCCACAGGAGTAGCATCCTGACTCAACTCAATAAACTGTTCTCTCAACTTTTCCCGAGCAGAATGAGGGAAATACTTGGCCCAAAAGGCCTCGGTAAAAGCAACCCACGTGCTACCTACAGTATTCTTAGCACACTTCCACCAATAGCTCGCATCTCCTTTTAATTGAAAAGTCGCCAAAGAAACCCTCAACTCCTCATCTTCAACTCTGAGCATATCAAGAATCTTGGTAATTTGCTCTAACCAACTCTCTGTCTCCAACGGTTTGGCTTCCCCCACAAACTCTGGTGGGCTGGAGTGAAAGAACTCCTTAGTAAGCTTGAGGGTACGCCCGCTGTCACCCTCAGTGCGAGCTAGAGTGTCCTGCACTTCTCTCATAATCTCGTGGGCAACGTCCTGGCCGATAACCGATGCTGCAACGGCGGGTGCTAAAGGAACTGTTGTGTCTTTACCGACACTCTTACTACTCATCCGTCCTCTACTCCCTCATGTAGACATCCTATAAAACCCAAAACAAAACCACACTTAGTGCTCAACACAATAGCCTTCCCGAGGCCCACACTTACTACTCTTAAGTCACAAGACACACTTACCCTCAAGACATATATTACGATTGCATATAAACATCTAAACATTTAAACACATAACCGAATCAAGTCCACAAAGATAGCCACTCATCCCGAAACTCCTACCAGAAACCACGTTGATCAGGCGCGTTTCCAAGAGGACCTCAAAGCAAGTTCATCGGCTATGAATACTATCTAGGAAACTCAATCCCATGCTCAAATAAATGCATAATACAAGTCCTAACATTCATGTTAACTATATGCAACGTCCTCACCATACGTAGTACACCCACTGTGGCAAAAACCACTTTCCACGAGCCCAAAGTATTCAAACCCGGCTTGCTCTGATACCAAGTTGTAACGCCCCACTTTTTATTACTCGAAGTTATTACCAAATTCATTAACTTAATTCAAGTTCAGAGATAACATGCAGAAATAAACTCTTTAGTCCCATGAGTAGAAATAAATAACAATTCTCTCATCTGAATGTAAATTAAATACAACATGAGCATACTCAATAAAATGCCTGAAGGCTTACATCATTAAAGAATCAAAAAGAAGGGTGTAACCCTTTTACATATATGGTATTCCACCAACACAAAAGAGGCCCCATGGCCAACAAATAAGAAGATCCACATCTTGTAGCACATCCTGCTTAACACCTGAAAAAGATTCAACAACGTGGGATGAACATATAGTGCAGTAGGGATCTCAACATGGCTCTCAACAATAACAATTTACAGATTGCTATGATCATGAATGCCCAATCTCATAGTAGAATAATAATGTGGCGGTTTATACAAAATATACAGAAGTATGAACTTTTCTCGAAAACAGCCATTTCATTCAACGCTATAAGCAATTCATCTTTCTTTTCTTTTCACTACCCTTTGTTCCCAAACTTTCACAACAATAACGACTTCTTAGAAAATCAATTTCTCTAAGCCCATTACCTTTCTCCCATTTTCCATACTTACAACAGATTTTTCCTTTTCCAAAACATACTATCAAATACCAAATTTTCCTTCACACTTTCCCAAAATCTCACAATGGCATTTTGGTTTGTTCCCAATACATTCATATCTATACATGCATGCCTTCAATAAAAGGGAGATAACAAATCATCAACACGTATATAATCAACAAATGAGGCAACTCGGCCCTCCAAAACTGTAACCATCACAATCCATAATATACTCAGATACACTGAGACAAAAATAATAAAACTCTGCTCTACCGGCTATATGCACAGTAAGCCAAGGATACAACTCTCACAACGGTATGCCATTTTACTGGGCGCTAGCTAGAAGGGTGTGGTACCTTAGATTCTCAACGCTGTCAGTTCTCCAGGCGCTAGCTGGAAGGTAACGGTACCTCTGATTATAAGCGCAGGGCATAACACCCATAATCACAATACAACAGAGTATAACCAACGAGTGTAATACATACACATAAATTATCAAGATACATGAGTAATGTGTTAAAGTATATGAACACATAGGTATGTGTGGAGTACATCCCCTATCTCCTCCCACACACTGGAGTACATCTCCTATCTCCTCCCTAACAATTATACATATATAATGTATCATAACACTTCATTACATACAATGTTCAATCAACACAGGTGTAATGCATACACGACAATTCAACATAACCATGTCATCCTCCACCGATGACCAAGGACAAAACCTCTAGATGCATGTATTCAGTACATCTATTAAAAGACTCAACTATCGTGAAATCTTAAACCCAACAACAACGCTAGTATGATAAGTAAAGGTAAAACCCCAAATATGTGTATTCAATACTCAAGATACCATATTTCAATTTCCAAATTCATTTTCCATTTCAAAATCGACTTGTTCCACCACTTATTCCAAAACACTTTCCCCATTTTACGGAAGCAATATCATTCCTTTCATTTCACAAAACCAATTTCATTATTTCATAACTCTTCAAATCAATTACGCAAATTAATTCATAACAGTAAATTAGGACTTTTCTCACTCTTTCTCAATATTGACCAAAAAGGCTCAAATACCAACAACAAACAACAATGACCACATTTGAGACCCAAAATACATATGTATTGGCCCAAAGAACAAAACCCCACTTTCATTTTATCAAATCAAATATAAATTAGAGCTTTTTCTTCTTTAAACAATGATATACTAATTTATACCCTAATTAGTCCAAACCACAATCAATGATAAGAAACCCATTTTCAAACAACCAACCCTAGGTTCACCCTCATGATTTTCAAACAAACCCAATGTGTATATGATTTTCATGCAATACAAAACTACCACATGTCTATCTATAGACGAAGCATTGTAAAAGAACAGGGAAATCCCTACCTCAAATGAAGAAGATGAAGAATTTTGAAATGCTACAAACCTCAAGATTTTCGGATTGATAGAAAGCTCACACCAAGCTCTACACTTTTTACAAAGGAGCAAGGATAGAAGATCACTCCTACTAGATCAAACCCTAGAGAGAAGTTGGAGTTTTTAGAGTGAGGTGCTCTCCAATGGAGGTTTTGAAAAAGTAGGAGAGAGAAAGAAAGTCAAAAAGTGATCCGAAATGTCACTTTTCAGACTAATATAAAAGTCTCCCCGCTCGAGCGTGGAACTCCCCGCTCGAGCGTCAGACACAGACTCACCCTCGAGCGTCAAAATCGCCGCTCGAGCGTCGATTGCACACTTCCAGAAGTTTTGCAGACCATGGTCCCCGCTCAAGCGTCAGACTCCCCGCTCGAGCGGAGGAATAAAATCAAAAGGGCCCGCTCGAGCGTCAAAACTCCCGATTGAGCGTACGATGACCTGCAGAGAAAATACTGGGAGATGAATATTCATGCTCGAGCGTCAAAACACCCGCTCGAGCGGATAAGCAACAATAAGGGGCCCGTTCGAGCGTCAAAAGCCTCGCTCGAGCGTGAAGGCAAAAGTCTGGGCAACAACCCTGGGTTTCAAAACATAACCAACCTGTTACAAACCTGCCCAAAACATCCTATAACTCAAATACAAAGTATTGAAGGACGGAAACAAGCTAAATACAACAACCCACATCTATGGAACCAAGTTCGGAATACAATACTCAATGGAGGGAAAGCCGGGATCGCTATAATATCACAAAAAAATACTTAGCATTACATTACAACAACTAATAAGTATCGCTTGATTCTCGCTCTTCTTACATTTTTAGAGGCAAATAAATCAATCATACTTGCATGATCTAGTTTTTTTTTTTGCAAAATCATTTTCAATGGATAACAATGCTAATTATTTAAATGGGCCTTTCAATTTTTTTAATGAGTCAGTTTATTTTAAATTAGTTTGGGCATTCCTTAATTATTTTAGGACTTAAAACATACCTAATATATTATACCAAACTATAATAGGAGGGGGGTCCTTTTTTGGGTCTATTGTCAATGGATAACAATGCTAATTTTTTTGAATGGGTTAATTTATTTTAAGTTAGTTTAGGCCTTCTTCAATTTTTTTTGGACTTAAAACATACCTAATATGTTACACTAAATTATAATATGAGGGGCTCCTTTTTTGGGTCTATTGTGAGGGGCCCTAGCCCATGACCTGGTAGGCCTATGCCTAGGGCTGACCCTGCTTGTAACATCTTATTCCAAATATCATATAAATTCATACCAACCAAGTATAATCCATCTAAATTAAATATTACATACAAAAACCCTGAATTTCCAAAACAGAGGATTCTACAAAAATAAATGTTTTCTATATACAAAACAAATGCTCTTCGTACACAAAAATAAATCTCCACAATAACCCATGCAAAAGCAATCTGTAAAAAAATAAAAATAAATAACCATTAGCAATTATTTAATAAAATTGACATTTCAAATTATAACAATCAATGTTAAAATAGCTACGTGCTTCAATGCAATAATCATGCAGAACATAATCAAGCAGCCTAATTAATACTGTTGCTTCCATTATATCAACTAGGGGTTTGATACATTTACACACAAACACATATAATAAAGCTTGACTTTCAAATGGGAGGTGCAGAGATGACTCGTATTCGCCTTATTTCTTAAATATTGGGAAGAAACTTCAATTGAAATGTTTAAAAATAAGCTGCTTCAGTTATACTTTCCATTTGTTCAATTAAAACATCAAAAAAACAAAACAAACAAACAAATGCTTCACATCAGTTTTATAACTGAAATTTGGGTGACAAGTGAAAGCACGAGAAAACACCAAGTTCGGAGAAAGAGAAAAGAAACCACCAAGGCAAGAGAGTAAAAGCAAGTGAATTATGAGGTGGAATTTTGCCAATTTTGAATGCATAAATTCACTAATATGCTTAAAAATCAACTTTAAGATATAATTTGCCAACCAATATTGAATTGAAGATACCAGTAAGAAGAATTCACCTCACATGCAAATTTCCAAAGATAACCAATAAATTTCAACTCTTTTGAACATATGGCAAACCAATATTGTAAAGGTGATGAGGTATCGATTCCCGGGTGGATGGGTCGGACCGGCCCAGGCTCTTCAGGCTCCAGCTCAAGAAGGAGACTCCGTCAGATGACCTGCATGCAAGTTCAGGGGGGAACGGGGTAGTCCCCCAGTGAACCCTCCGGTGCAAGAATTAGTAGAGCAGAGTATGAAAAAACTGTATATCGAGAGATCAAGAGAGAGATAACTTAACCTTTTTCTTTCCTCTTATCCTTGCTTATATCCTTTTGTCATCATTTTTCCTGTCTCCTGTGACGTGCTTTTTTTCGCCGAAAGCCTGTGCCATAGCTCATCTTGTTTAGGGTGATGGAGGCTCTGTTCCGGCGGGGAGTGCTGTTGTAATAAATGCTGTGATGGGTTGCATTAATGGTGATGTGTTGTGATAATAACTCTGCAGATCTTTGTCTGCTGATGTGGCCCGTGTCCCACCTGCCGTGTGCCTAAATGCCGTTGGCCCTTCATGTCTAGGTGGCCTCCAGCTGTTCTGGGCCTTGTCAACCGGGTTGTGCCATTGGCCCCAAGCACTGGGTTCGGGGTGGTTTACCGTGGGCCGTGTGCCTTGTGGGCCTATCCATGTCAGTAGTCCCCCAAAAATTTAAGCAATCGACAAGAGTGCTTGTTCCATATAGAGATGGTTTCAGTTCAGTCTACGGTCTCCCCACGGCAGTCGAATATCAATAATAACTTGCCTTGCGTTAGTAGAGTGAGAAGTGAACAGACTCAAATACAGTTGTCAGGAGGGGCTCTGGCTTATAAGGAATGAGACTGAGCCGCAAGCAATCTAGAGGGATTGAACTTAAGGATAACCTTTGCAAAACTAATTGAATCACAATAACAACTATATGGTAAGCCAATTTTTCAAGAAAAGACATACACCTTTCAAGATCAAATTCAAGCTAAGTGCATCTTGATGCTCCAAAATATAGGCAACAACTCCAAAAAAGCTGAAATTTTGGTTCATTTTTTTAATGGTCTGGTTTAGATGTATCAATTAACAATTAGTGGACTGGGTTTAGATAAGATTTGTGCTGCTATATTTGGGCCACAAGTGTTTTGGGTTGGGTTGGTTCAGGTCAGTTTACCGCCTTAAGTAAGATGACATGTTTGGTGAGTACGGTTTGGGATGTTTTAGGGTGGAATGGCGGTTGGATTGTACTAGTGTGAGTAATAGTACGGTTGTTACTAATGTCTTATCCTTGTAAGTGATTACACTAACAGTTATGTTAGCTGGAAAGTGATTACACTAACAGTTATGTCAGCTAGAAATCAATGTGAATGTTGAAAGATTTACATACGTCGGTATGACTTTGGAATCATTTTGTTCTGTCAATAACGAACATTAACTCTATGTTATCTATCAACGAACTATATCGTCTTTTAAGAATAAAGGGAACTTATGTTCATCTTAGAATGATGAAATTTGGGTGCATTTAAGATCATTCTGGGTTGACACTAATGAATCAAGATTATTCTGTTATATGACACATGAACTTGAGATCGTTCAGATCCTATGACATAAATGCAAAGGTCTAATGTTATCATATAACGCACGTTAGAATGTGGAGTGTTCTATCCTCATGAAATGCAATGGAATGGCATGTATGCCCTCTGTTAATGGTATATTCGCTCTTGATCCTCGTTAATGTTTATGTTCTGCTATTTACGAGACCACTATGTTGATAGTTAATATGCACGTTCTGTTATCTGCAAGTTAGTGGCATTAATTCATGATGAACAAGTGAAATGTGGGTACATTATGAAACTACAGTATTTATGTACCTTTGGAATCGCCCAATCTGTTAATGGTTGCTGTTGAATGTAACTTAATTATGCTAACTCATTTGAATGATAAAAAGAAACCGTGTGCCTCTATATGACTATAAGACTAGTCTGTTCTGATGATATCTGTGGTTATTCCGTTATGATGTTCATTTCGTTTATATTATGACATGATGAGACTTATTGATTTCTGGTATGGAACAAAGTGCTGTACGGAACTAAGTGTTACACTTTGGTGGGAGCCACCTCTAGAATCCGTGCGAGCCACCTCTTGAGTCCATACATATACGAACTGGGCTTAAAGTCGTTCTGTTATTTCTGGGCCGATGGCCGTTCTGTTATTTCTGGGCTTAAAGCCGTTCTGTTATTTCTGGGTCGAGGGCCATTCTGTTATTTCTGGGCCGATGGCCGTTCTGTTATTTCTGGGCCGATGGCCATTCTGTATCTGCTAGGCCTATGGCCGTTCTATATCTGTTAGGCCTATGGCCATTCTATACATTACTTAGCTTAAAGCTACTCTGTTAAGCAAATTGAACCCATGGCTGCTCTGAAAATAATTACAGAAAGAAGTTAATCATATATCTCTGCAGTTATATGCTCTACCATTCAAGTTAACCATTACATTATTCATATACTATTATTCACTGAGTTTTACTCACTCTGTATTTTGTCCGTTTCTGTAGGTAAGCATCCAGGAGGCCAGTCCTAACCCATAAGGCTCGTCTCTCTTGTCAACCCTAGTGTGTCCAGGCACTTAGATAGAACCATACATTTTGCAAGGTTTTACTAGGTTTTTGGTTTATGCTTTAATTGTCTGTCTAATGTTGAAGTGTAAACAATCCTTTTACCCTTCAATATTCTTGTTATGCGCCCATTTTTGAGGGCTGGGTCTGTATATGTATGTGTACATAGCTGAATTCTCAGATGCACGTCACTGTATGTTTATCTGCCTTATGTTCTATTTGCGATCCTGGCATAGTAGTGATAGCTCAATGGATGTCATGTATGTTGTTATATGATATTAAATGTTTCCGTTCAGACCTCATATGATATGTATATCAGATTTAGTGTCCGTTTCCGAATAAGACATGCCCAAACTTTTAGGGGTGAGTTTGGGGCGTGACAAGCCTTTCACATATATGGCATTTCACCAATACAAAAGAGACCCCATGGCCAACAAATAAGAAGATCCACATCTTGTAGCACATCCTGCTTAACACCTGAAAAAGATTCAACAACGTGGGATGAACATATAGTCTAGTAGGGATCTCAACATGGCCCTCAACAATAACAACTTACAGATAGATATGATCATGAATGCCCAATCTCATACTAGATTAATAATGTGGCGGTTTATACAAAATATACATAAGTATGAACTATTCTCGAAAACAGTCATTTCATTCAACGCTATAAGCGATTCATCTTTCTTTTCTTTTCACTACCCTTTGTTTCCAAACTTTCACAACAATAACGACTTCTTAGAAAATCAATTTCTCTAAGCCCATTACCTTTCTCCCATTTTCCATACAACAGATTTTCCCTTTTCCAAAACATACTTTCAAATACCAAATTTTCCTTCACACTTTCCCAAAATCTCACAATGGCATTTTGGTTTGTTCCCAATACATTCATATCTATACATGCATGCCTTCAATAAAAGGGAGATAACAAATCATCAACACGTATATAATCAACAAATGAGGCAACTCGGCCCTCCAAAACTGTAACCATCACAATCCATAATATACTCAGATACAATGAGACAAAAACAATAAAACTCTGCTCTACCGGCTATATGCACAGTAAGCCAAGGATACAACTCTCACAACGGTATGCCATTTTACCAGGCGCTAGCTGGAAGGGTGTGGTACCTTAGATTCTCAACGCTGTCAGTTCTCCAGGCGCTAGCTGGAAGGTAACGGTACCTCTGATTATAAGCACAGGGCATAACACCCATAATCACAATATAACAGAGTATAACCAACGAGTGTAATACATACACGTAAACTATCAAGATACATGAGCAATGTGTTAAAGTATATGAACACATAGGTATGTGTGGAGTACATGCCCTATCTCCTCCCACACACTGGAGTACATCTCCTATCTCCTCCCTAACAATTATACATATATAATGTATCATAGCACTTCATTACATACAATGTTCAATCAACACAGGTGTAATGCATACACGACAATTCAACACGATCATGTCATCCTCCACCGATGACCAAGGACAAAACCTCTAAATGCATGTATTCAGTACATCTATTAAAAGACTCAACTATCGTGAGATCTTAAACCCAACAACAACGCTAGTATGATAAGTAAAGGTAAAACCCCAAATGTGTGTATTCAATACTCAAGATACCATATTTCAATTTCCAAATTCATTTTCCATTTTCAAAATCGACTTGTTCCACCACTTATTCCAAAACACTTTCCACATTTCACAGAAGCAATATCATTCCTCTCATTTCACAAAACCAATTTCATTCTTTCATAACTCTCCAAATCAATTACGCAAATTAATTC